ATGTTAGTGTAGTTGTATTAATGATTAACTTTTGGTTAATTAATTAATGATTAGTTGATTTATAGTTTTACACTCATTTGACTCCATTCATGTCATTGTCACAACGGGCTTGAGGAACCAGATCTCTTTAAAACACGTAGCCCTGCAGCTAGAGGTACTCCATCCTAAAACAAAATTATCAATGGAATGATTGTTATGTATTTTGGGGTTGGTTATCTGATTATGTTGATTGGATTGATGTTTCGTTGGAATTTTAGTCATTTGTTTAATTTTTAGATTCTATGAATTATTTTAATTCATTAAAAGAAGGATCAAAATTTTTTTTATTTTTAAATTTAGATTTAATTCTGGAACTTTCTTATTTTTTTATAAATACTAGATCCTGAGATGAGTAAAATTACACTAAGTTTGATGGATTTAGATTTTTCTAGAATGAGTTATGATTTTTTTAAATTCGGGTGTATTTTTGAACTATTAGTAACCAAAGATTCGACTTTTTGATATTTAGAGATTTTTAAAATTATGATTTTTTCATAAATATTAGACATTGAGATGAGTCAAATTCCTTTGAGCTTATTCAATTTGGAGTTTTTTTTTAAATAATTATGGATTTTTTGAAGTTTTTTCATTTAATTAAATGATTTAATTTGTTAATTAAGGATTTGTTTTGCACCAAACTCATTCCAAACTCTTTGAAATCACTCCCAAAGACTAGGGATGACATGGAGGAGTGTTTTTCAAGAGTTTAATTTTTTTTTGAATTTTTGATAATTTTTTAATTATTTATTTTAATTAATTATTAAAATGTCTTACTTATTAAACTAAGACCAATTTTAAAGTCCAATGAAGAGGCTTTTAATTTTCTTGGATAGAGGATTGAATTATGGACAATTTGTTATATTATTTGTAATTTTAGGATTTAATTTCGATTTATTATATTTTGGGAAGTTTCAAATCCCTTAAAAGGGCTGATTTTTTATTTGATTAATCCCTCAAATCTGTTTAATGAGCAAAGACAACAAGTTTAACTCTTAAATCTCTAACTACAAATATGAACATTGCATGTGTTCTAACTATTCAAATTTTCTCAAAAATAGAAATGAGAAAAGAGAATAAGTTTTAAATGGAGAAGATGATAGCTTTAGTTTGGGTGAAGAACTAAAATACCCTTTTTCCCTTCAGTTGTTATTACAGAAAAGAGGATAAATGGAAAGAGAGGAAGGAGGAGAGAGATTTAAAGGTTATAACTTAGGATTAGTTCGTCAGGTTAGTTGAGGATTTCGTTGACCATGAGGTAAACTTCTAATCATGTGTCTCTTATTTCAATTCCAATAAATTTATAAAAAGTTATGGACAAAATTATACTTAAATTTTATGACATTTTTACCACACAACTTTTTTGTATATCTTAGTCTACTTTATTCAAGACACTTTGGCTATAAGAAATTGAATTTTCATTAGTTAGTTTTTTCTATGATGATTTTTGGGCATATTGAATAAATAAGATATTTCTAGTATACATGATAGTTTTATAAAAGTTTTAAAATGTTATTTTGGATATTCTCTTAATATTATAATTCTAAAAAAAATATCTTGTTCTTTATACATGTAATGTTATCCCACTTTAGTATTCTAGTAGTATATTCATCATCATACGCATATTCAAAGTTACGATTATCTGTTATTGTATCTAAAATGCATAATTCATGGAATTGTACGAGTTCGTTATTTCGAAATGCTTCAAGTGCACATTCTGAAATGATATAAGGGCACTATCTATTTTATTTTTAATCCCGTCTGCCTTATGTGGATGTGGGGGCTTCTATTTTATTCTATTTTGACCTCACTTATTGTGTGTGGGTTTGGGAGGCTTAAAGGGAGTTATAAGTAGAAATAGAGTTATAAGCATACATCAGGTTTCTATTTTATTCTATTTAGATGTTCTTTATTATTTTGGTTCTTTTAGCTATCTCTGGTTTATTCTACACTTTGGTTGAGAAAATTTAGGTTTAGGGATTTTATCTTTCAATTAGATCCCGGAGCATCACATCTACAATGTCCATAAAAATAGAAAAAAAAAATTCATTTTTAGAGTAAAATATTCTCTATGATGTGGTGAATACTGCTTGCAAATCGAGCTTATAATAACACCAAAAAATTTTTTAGAATAATGTAATTCAAATTTGTTCAAATAAAAATTTATGGGAATTGTACTACTATTGATAGGCAATCTTTTTTTATGATTATATGAATATCAAAGTTGTTTGAAAATATGCTTTAAGAGCTATCTAAGAGTACTTTGTTAACCAAACCTGCATTTATATTTGAAAAACTAAAATATGTAAATTTTTAGTGTGTATTATGGAAGTTTTACCAGATAGAAATATATAAGTACATATTCTAAAGACATCCAATATTGGTATGTGTAAGGCAATCCATTTGGGAATGATCCCAAGCCCATCCAAAATGGCAGAGACCCAAAGCACCACGATGGTGTGAATGGAATATGATGCTAAGGTGGGAATGCTACCTCTATACCACTCCAATAAAGGTCAATGATGCATAAGGTGTGCTGGTGTTGCTAAATGCATACCGTTATGCAACTGGTGGATGGACCTTGATTTGCATGAACATAAGTACCTATAACACTAATTATGGATGGCTCTGATGCATCTTCAACTATATGATCTTCTCCATATCTATCATTTGTGGTGTGCATCCTCCATCACACATCACTACACATCACTTCTTCCCTATTTATTGCTTGTTGTGCTATACTGTAGTCCTCTCTCCCAAAAAGTAATTAAAATGTATCCCCAGTTTACAAGAAGTATTAATGTTGCATTATAAGTAAAATTTGAAAGTATGCATAATTAAGTAATTTAATGAAGTAAGAAATGCTACATACTAGTATCCTCTCCCCCAGTGCTTTAGGATGGTAAGTTGATGGAGCCCCAATAAGGGATTGCAATAATTGCAAAGAAGCTCAATATCTATACTAATGTAAGTATCACAGATATGCTCGATTCCTATCAAAATCTCCTTAATCATGATGGAAAACAAAGTTGAGCATGTTCTTCTATAGGGTTGTGAGTTTTGGGCCACGGATCGAGTTTGGGTCGAACCTGAAACTGACCCGGTACTATTCAGGTAAACACAAACCCGACCCATTTTTGCAAACAGGGTCAATTTTTTGGACCCGAACCCGACTCCTTCGGGTCCGGGTCAACTCGACATGACCCTAATGCGACTCCTTCGGGTCGAATTATTGAACTTGAATCTGACCCTACCCAGAATTTTTGGGTAGAGTTCGAGTCAATTTTTCAGGCCGTGTCAAATATTGACACCCCTATTCTTCTCTAACTTCATGTATGTATAGGGGTAATCCACCTAGTCCATGTATGCTTTACCCCTTCCATCTACTGACTAAAATCAATCTTCATTAGATCCATATCGATTTGCTGCACTTCCCCAAACTTCCTCATTATACAATTAAAGTACTACCACTCAACTTACCACTAGCTAATAAGTAGCATACATGGTTGCTAATTTTGCAACACAACAATGCATATATTAACAGCATATATCCAAATCTTGTGGCCATAAAACTCCCATATAGCTTGAATTATAAGTTCAGATTAATATTTATCCACACAAATTTCCTTTATCTACAATAGAATCATTAGATTATGAGTAATAAAGTTAAATTTATGTGCACTTGGCTCTCTAAAAATCCTTTGATCTCATCTCTATACATTCAAATGTTGCGTACTAACATTTCTATAACATGTTGCTCTTTCTAGATGCAATATTATAGTAAAATAAGTAAAAATAATAAGCATTGCCAATAAATTTATGAAAAAAAAAAGAATTCATACCATAAACCAAAGCTCTTCCCATCAAGGTCCAATTGATACAAAATATAAAGAGTTAGTTGCCCCACATACAAAAGCTTTTAACTCCAGACCTTCAATAAGTGTAATTACCTTACCATATTTATGTGACTTGTGTTTGTGACTTCCTTTGAACTCCCAATATATATGAGTTAATACTACACTTCCTAATGAACGTATGGAAAACTCATGTAATTCTCCATGAGTAGTAAGTGAATTCCTAACATATATGAGTTAGTACTACACTCCCTAATTAATGTATGGAAAACTCATATAATTCTCCATGAGTAGTAAGTACTGTAAATGCATCTCACACCCAAATGTGTTAGACATAGAAAATAACATAATATAAAAAGAATGCACGCACAAATATTTCTACTAAATTTGATCCCATTAAAACCTAAGTAGAATTCCCTAAAGAATGTCCAACCCAGTCATCTTAACGACATGCATGTTTAGGTTTGAGCTTTGGCCCATTTGAAATGCGAATATCAAATATAATTCTTACGAATGATGACATATAACTTCTTTGTGATGACAACCTACTAGGTATTGCAACAATCGGGCTATAATACCCACATACAATTGTCAACTAAAACATTCCAACATATTATAGGAGAACCATCAACTCTAATGCTAAAAAGAACTCCAATTTTATAGAGTCACAATCATCTTGCCAAATAGCAAGTAAAATATGTTCTTATATGAGATGATCAACGCTCGATAAGTGCGGTAAATAGGTAGTTATCTAGTTTAAGGTAGTTGAGGTGTCTAGAGTTTTGTTAAAGTGATAGGATATTTTAGTTTGGAGGAAATATTAGGACATATTTAAAAAATAAAAAAATTTAGGGCATATTACTATAATTTTTACTATTATAAGGCTTTTAAAGTTAAATTTACTTTATTAATCTAGCAAAATATGAGTGAAGAGCGCTTGCTCCAACCCCACTCTATATAGAATTTGCCACCCTCGGAAGAAGCTGCATTTCTGTCGCATTTGCATTTTTCTTGGCAACTCTAATGCGCATCTTTCTCCTTCTCCTCCTGCAGGTTTCTTTGGTAAGAACTCGCACGCTGTGTATCAACCGATCAAAACAAAAACAAAAACAAAAAATCCCCCATTTTTGTTACCCGTCAGTTCTTATTGATAGCCTAGGTTTCACGCGTCTTGTCATCTACAGGTGGCAGCGACTGGCGCTGCTCACAGCTCGGAACCTTTCCCGGTGGTCGTGAGCACATGGCCGTTCGTGGAGGCGGTGAGAGCTGCTTGGAGAGTCGTTACTGCCGGATCCTCCGCCGTGGATGCCGTCGTTGAGGGCTGCTCTACTTGTGAGGAGCTGCGCTGCGATGGCACAGGTTTGTGTGAACTTGACGTTTAGGTTTATTTATTTATTTATTTATTTATTTTATTATTATTTTTTAATTAACTTGAAGTTTAGTTGCTTGACTGGGTGGCAGGGATTAGGGTTAGCATCTATTTTGTTGATTTAGGGTTGGTGGATTGATATATGATACCCTTTTAACGCCCTAATTTTCAAATCAAGCTTTACAAGGAATAATGAGGAATTTAGGGGTAAAAGGGGATGTTTGCTTATAAGGTAATTGCTGTCTTGTTATTTAATTTATCTGTGTAATTTACTTAACATGATTAGTTGTAGATTAAGGCTTTGTTTGGGACAACTTTGTTTTTGCTTTATAGAGCAGCTTTTTAGTATATATTTTTTTGAAAAAAAAATATTGTATTAGAAAGCTGCTTTAGAAAGAAGTAAGAAGGCTCTCCTAAACAAAGCCTAAGTTTGCTAATTGATTATTTATTAATTAAGTGAGAAAGTTTAGTCAATTTTGAACTAATTAGACTCTACATTTAATGTTAATTGCTAATTATTTTCTGATTAAAATGCCAATCATAATGTTAGATTGAATGTTAATTACTTTACTAATTGCATTGTTAAAAAAGAATTCCCTCATAGCCAATTAACATAATTATCAAATACTTGTAATAATATTTTTATCAGCTTAATTGTTTATGATTTTTCATTTTAAACTAATTAAAACAATTAAATAATTAAAATTTTAATTAGCAAGTTAATAATTAGTTATTCATTCTTCAATGATTTTTTTTTACAAATTGTAAAAGAATTTTAATGATTTAATTAAGAAGCATTTTTGCTAAACTTCCCATAATCACTAGTCAATTAATGGTTTGAAGTCGGTCATTAATGTCTTATATAATAGCATAGTTATTATTAAATACTTAGTTATTGTTTGACTATAAAGTTTCTCTACCATTAATCAATATTCAAGACTGCTGAATATTCAACTAATTATTTACTTAAGCTACATCTAATTTTTTACTTGAAGCATAATTGCATGATTAAAGGAAGTCAAATCACTCACCCAAATTATTGCCAAATTTCCTTACCATAATCCGTTTACACTAGACTGTTTTGAAAGATTAACGAAGATTAATAAATTGCCATTCAAATGATTTTCATTTTGAAAGCCAAATATCTTTACTGATTAGAAGATTTCACAGATGACAAAAGCCCCCATTTGCATCAGAAAATCTAAAATATAACAAGAATATATTATAACCAACACATAATTAATTTAATATTAAATTTTTTATCAATAATAAAAATTACTTATCCAATATTCAAATTTAACTAAATTTGATGTTAAATGTAGTACCTACTACAAGTGTATAACTGCATTGCAATATTCTCTCTAACTTCAACCATCAAATTTGTGCCTTCACCTTCAAGTAAGTCTACAAAATCATTCATGTTTCTTAAGGGTTCAACTTCTTCTCCCACTCTGTACTCATGTGACCTGGATGAACAAAATTTTCATCGACGTTACATTCCTTAAATTCCAAATCAGTTCTTGAATGATGTCTCCATATGTAATTATGTAATGCGATTGTAGCAACTACAATAAGATGCTATTTCTGGAATGAGTAGTTTGACACATCTCTTAGAATTCACCATTTTTTCTTTCATACACCAAAAGCACGTTTCATTACACTTCTCAAGGTGGAATGTCTTCTATTAAATACCTCTCGGTGACCCCTAGTAGGTCGGCTACCTCGTACGAAATTTGGTATATGATATCGCGTCTTTGGATAAGGCTTAAGAAACCCCCTTTGAAGCGTGTCTCCAACGTCAACTAAATAAAATTTACATGTTATCAAATAGGTAATTTTCTCATATATTATAATATAAAATATCCTTACTAAAATCATGTTCATTTATTCATTAAAAAAAAAAACCTGATGCCGGTGCAAAAAAATTGCATCTTGGATCCTTTATAATAATCATTCAGGGTTTATTTACCTGATAATTCAATAATAATTCAAATAACTAGAAAATTCACATAAATCAAAGCTTAACTCTAAAGTAATGAATAAAACCAACATATTCAAATCAAATAAAAGATTTAATTACAAACTAATTTCATTTAAACTGAATTCATCAATATAATAAAAAGGATAAACTAAATATCAAATCAAATAATAATAATATAAATCTTTCTTAAAATCAAAATTAAAATACAAGATTTAAGCAAATTCAAAATGAAAAATATACTTGAATTAAACAACATAATCAAATTTAAATAAGAAAAATTAGATGGTAAATTAAAGTTTAAAATCAAATTAAATATGAAGCTAATTTAAAATAAATAAAAGTGAACAAAAGTAAATAAAATAAAGTTAAAATTAGTTCAATTAAATTTGAAATTAACTTCCTAATTAAATCATTAAAAATAACAAACATATTTAAAGAAAATAGCCAAAATAAAATTCAAATGATAGTCTACATCAATTAAAAAAAAATTAAAATGAAAATAAAAATTTTCTTTTATAAACTCATTAAAAAGTCAAATAAAAAATCCAAAACATTAAAACTTAAATAGTAATGACTCCCAGATATTAAATAAAATTAAAATTAGAAAATAAAACTTTATAGCCAAAAAGGGTGAACTTGCATAGCTTAGCACACACTTTTAGATTGTTTAGACAACTGATCCTAGTTTTAGGTTAGGAGTGCTATTTTATTAATGTACATTTTCTATTGATAAATGAAATAAATTTTCAATCATTGGTAGGTGTGTGCAAAATATTTTGAATGATGTTTGGTTTGATGACTCTGATGTTTTTTTGCTCTCTCAGGGTGGTCAAAGTGAGCAAATGCTTGTAATATGTTATGTTTTTTTTATTTTTATATAAACTACTTTAATAACTTGCAGGGAGTACAGTGCCTTTTTATTATTTAATTGTAATTTATTACAAGAGTTGTGAAAATCTAAAAATGAGGCATTTTCTTTAGAAAAGGATTAGATAACCAAAGGGAAAGAATTTTCTTCATCGAAAGATTCTTTTCATTTGGAAGCTTTACTGGAGGAATAAAGAATCAAGCTTGGGAGGAAGAAGTTAAGACTAGAAATAACCTTATTTTTATAAAGACTTGCGTCATTTCATAGAAGTAGAATCCAGACTGTTGTTGGTGGAACATGATCACTTCTACTTTACAGACCTTAGGTTGTATTAAGTGACATTTGTTATATGAACTTTGGACTTTTTACATTGCTTTGTGATTTGTTTTGGTGGTTGAGAGAATGCTTGTTTATATTGTTTGCATACTAGTAACCCCTTCCTTTTTTAGGTTTATTTCATGCATGTGCTTTTGTCTTGATATCTCGCTAGGCTCTTAGGAAATAAAATTTTTCTATTCATAACCAATAAAAATTTTAGGATAATATAGCAAGATAACTTGGCTTAGAAAGTAAGCAAAAGCTCATTTGGGGTCGCATAAATCAGATCCTTCCTTCTTTCCTTTTTAGGCACTTTTCCGTTTGCGAGTAGAATTAGATCATTTGACCTATGAGGCTGCAGTTCTAACTCATGGGAGTTTCGCTCTTTTAGGATAAAATTTATTTTTTAAGTCTTTTTAAAAGTTTAAATGTTGATTATTGCATAAGAGTTAATTAGTATGCATTGCATTAGAAATAAATAAAAATTAATTAAAATTTAATTGCATTTAGCTTTAAAATCATGATTACCATGGATAAGTTCAGAGCCACTAGAAATTTCTTTAGATGTCAGCCTTATATTAAAAAAATTTAACTAACAACAACCTATCCATCTTGCATTTGCGTAAAACTGAAATCATATTTTTTTAAAGCGATTAGGTGGAGTTTTAGCTAACATTTTCACTCCAGGAGAGAATGTAAGTTTAGAAGTGTCAGACTTTTTGAAACTCTTTTCTAGAGTCAAAGATATAAATCACATCTCACTGAATTTGCACGTTGTTAGACTAGGATCGAGTTTTGACTCTGTAGTGATCCACCTTAAGCCTAGGCTTTGAGGTTGATTGCATATCATAAGATCTCACCCTCTGGGCATTTCACTAATCTTGTGATCAAAGAATATAAGTTCTAAATTTTTAATAAAACATCAACTCAAATATAATGCCTCATCTTTTAAAATATTAGAGCCCGGGATAGGATAGACTAGAGCACTTCTTGGTGGTCTCAGAATCCTTGTGCTACCTACTCTTGATCTTTTGGCTTCCAGAAAGAGCAATTCAAGAACCAATTTCCTTTGAAAATTCCAAAATCTCTTATCCTTGACTTAAATTTTGAAATCTAAAAATATTTGACACCACTTTAATCAAGAGTGTTCTCGAGAGATTTACATCTTCTAGGATGTAATTAACCATAAAGACTTACATTTATGGGGAATCTATAACTCCAATACACCCAATCTTATTCCCATTAGGTAGGGAAAAGATCTCTGGGAATATAAACAATTTTTTAAAACTCATTTTTGCATTAAAAAATATTTGCAAAATATAATGTTCATCTTTAAATACTATTCTAGAATAACATGTCTATTTTTCGAGATAGTATGTTATTCTTTTTGTTGTATTTGACTATAAAAATGCAAATTTCTGAAAATCCTATTTTTGTCTTTGAATCTATTGTAGAATATCATATATATCTCTCTACATAGTTCGTTATTCTTAATGTCGTATTCTATCACAAGAATAGGGGTACCCCGAATCTGCGTTATATTTTATTTTCCCACATGCATCGATGCACGAGAGAGGGTAACTGCCTTTTGGTTAGGATGAGTTCAAGTTGGTGAAATTGATGTACATGCGCCATTTTCCGTTAGACTTCCAGAGCATCACGATGTTGTAAAACTACTCCAGACACCACACGTCCTTAACGAATATAGCCTCCAGAAGCTTATTAACCTCACAATGGATTGGTTCAATCAACATCATTACAACTGGCTTGATCTTTTGTTTTATTGATCTTGCCCTGTCAATGTTAAATCAGTGGTAGGAAAC